TCCGCCATTCTTTGTTTGGCGACCAAAGAAGCCAGCTGAAGAACGAGCTAGCCCTATACAACACACAAGAAGAGAGAACGGAATGCGATAGTTCGTTTACGGGGCTGCCGACTGTGGTCGCTACCCTGCTTAACCCTTTAATGCCTTAATTACGAAAGAGCGGAACAAAATATAGTTTTTTTTTATTTTCCAACTTTAAGTAGCAACCTTTAATAGGTTCTGCAGTTAAATTATTCAAAATGCAACATCTATGACTACTTCTAGGTATGTATAGACCCTTTCACTCTTTACAAACACAGACCCTTGATCCATCCGGTTTCGCTCACCGATGTGCCTGAATAGCATCAGGTAGGCAAGAAGAGCATTAGAGAATAGCCCCCCGATTTTCTCCACTTCCTTCTCTCATTTGGCAAAATATATTCGAATACATGTTCTTTTGAGCTACATAAAAAACTACTACAAAAAGATTACCTTGACAATTACGCACGTTCTTTTCATCTGATAAAAAAACTAATAAGAGACTTTCATTAAACGTCGTTTCAGTTTCGACGTTACAAGCTGGTAAATGAAGTGACCGGTAGTTTTTTTTTTGGGGGGGGGGGGGGGCACAACGCTTGCCATCTTGAAACCGTCTGTATTTCACAGAAACGAGTACCTTGGAACAACAACAACAAAAAAAAAAAAACGTACTTCATAACATCGTAACCTTACTTTTGCCACATTTTGCACACATCGAATAAACAAAATCACTGAAGATAGAATGTACGTTGCCCAGGCGAGAAAGAACGCAGAAGTGAGAGGTGTTGCCCCTGCTTCGCGCTCTCCGCCATAAGCGGGATTCGCTCGCAGGATTTCAAGCTGGACGGTTGTGCCCTCGCGATCTCTGACGCCAGCGTAGCTCCCGCCTACTGGTTCGCCCTCCGCGGTCTCCTGACGCCGTGCAGCTCTCGCATTGTGGCACCCCGCCCTTGGACTGCTTCGACCGGATCCCCACTTTCCTATCTCCTTTTTTTCTCTCGCTTGGCTGTCTTCTTCTCCGTCTATTTTCCTTCTATTCTTTTTATCCCTCCTTCCCCCCACCCCTATAAGGCACTGCGCCGTGTCGCCTGAAGGCAGACAGAAATTAGGTGCCTTTTTCCTCTTCATTCTAACCACCACCACCACCACCACCACCATCAGCTACTAAAGAATAGGTTCTAGAATAGAATCCCTTACACTAGACGGTGCTAGATTTTCCATGCTGAAAGCTATACGTTCCTTACGGGTGCTTGACAGCGGGCATTAAAAGGCGGCACGCATTTCCTGACTTGCTTGCTCGAAGTTTTTCGGTATGTCGCGAATTCCCGACACTCGGCAATACCGGATCGACAACCCTGGTCGCTTGAATGTGTTGATACATCGGTATGCGGCACGTTGCGCCACTTGCTACAAACAGGGGCATATCGTTCCGGACTGCCTTTACTTTTGCTGAAGCTCTTTTACTTCGAATGATTAACCTGCCTGTCCGCGCATGTGCTTTTAAACAGATAGTCCTAACACCTTTTCGAATTTCACTGTCTCAGCTGCATATCTAGTCAGTGCTTTGAGCCATATCGCGCTTATCACCATAAACCTACGAGAGAAAAAAACATGACCACGTAGCCAATGATGGGGCGTCCGAATGAAAGCCAGCAACTGGATCTCTAGTGATTCTGGCTGTGCGTGCGCACATACACAGAAAAAAAAATCTGATAGCGAATAAAATGCACATGTCACAACAAAGCAGCAGTAAATTTCAAAAAAGTAAAAGAGAAGACTGCGTCCATCAGGACACCACAAGCTTGCCAAGCAGGGAGGAAACCCTGCTTACGGATTACAAGTTGCAGTGCAGCGAATTCATCAAACCGGATGATCAAGAGAGCCCACGCATGCTTGCCGCTTGCACAGAGTCCGGAAAGTTCCTTTCACGTGAGAGACTTTCCCGGAATTCAGCCGCCTAGCAGGAGTGCAGCAACTGTTTGGAACCGTGTTTGGAACAGGCAAAGCGAAGAGACTGCGCGACCCGCGCGGGGCGGACGATTGAGATAGCGACGAGAGACTCGATCGAGCGATCCATTAGCATATCGGAGAATCGCGCAGCTGCTGGCCTGCACGCGAACACAGTTGGCCAGCGTGGAATAAAACGGATGCGAGCATAAGTGACCGTAGTATAGCACCGCCGAACGTGAGCTAACGCTAGCAAATGCCTAAGGTTTTATACCTGAACAACGTGGACGCTAGACCTCAGAAAAGAAAAAAGAAGATCCTTTGAAGGCCACGCGAATTGTCCCAAATGGCAAGGTTGTGGTAGCAATGATCGATCCTTTGCATTCCCCAACGCCGTTGAAACCAGACAGCATAGGCGTCCGCGTGATCTCGTGTTTTGGCGGGGAGGGGGTTTACACCGCGGCGGGGGAAAAGAGCCTGTGCTGGTGTGGCTTGAGAGGTACTAATGCTACCTCTTGGATTATTCCATCGACGCTCGTGTGATTCCATATTGAACGTTATTATACGGTAAGAGTCATCCCGAACCACTAAGAGCAAAGAATTTTGAAACATTTCTTTCACCAATCAATCGCAATACTGTTGCAGCAGCTATATAGGAGTGAAACATGGCACGACCACGAGCCTGTCCACCTACAGCTTCATGGTCCCTTGACGACTCCTCTTTCTCATTAACGATAAGGATGTTGAGAGACCGCAAGTTGAAGGCCGACGAAGGACGTGACCTGTCGGCTACACCCCACATGGCAAAAATTCGGCTCCTTCCTGGTTAACGCTCCTTGGACAGAGGTTATACGTTTCTTGAAGATCATCTTTACGTACTTTGCTTACCCACTAGCCCCTCAAAAACCACCTCAACGAAGAGTAATCGACTAACCCAGACATACGGCCGGTTTCACATTTCGTTGCGAGCGATTTGAATTTTGTAATATGTAGAGATAAATGTCGAAGCCCTCGCGAGAAGCATACACGAAATTCAGCGTGATCTCGAGAGAAATTGCGTTGAGGAGAGCATAAACTCAAAAACAAAACAATACAGTAACGACTTTCATCGCTGGGCACGTCTCCTTCTAAAGGTCACGCTGTATACCGCTTTAGGTACACGCCCACTTCATAGCGCTACACTGCCAACGTGCACTAATGGCCATTCTGAACTGTGCCCTTCGCGAATCGCAGGGTTGTGTCGCAATTTCAGCGTTGTCGGTTAATGTTATCACTGAGAGGAAACGTCCCCCAACCCTGCTCCACGCAGGTGGCAAATCGCAGCTTCCGGAACGACACTGTTTACGGTACAGGACGCACAGTTACAACACCTGCGCAGCACTGTACCTGGAAGTAGACCCAGATTTAAAGGCAAACAAAAAAAGCGAGGCTCACTAGCAACCAGCGCTTATTTAGCCTGTCGTTCTGCAATACAGGAGAGTCACGCAAAGCAACGGCGCAGCTTCCAAAAGCAAGGAGTGACATACAGCCTGGTTTAGGTACACCTGTTCCGGAAGTTCACGCACTGTGAGGCACATTGCACTATATGGAAAAGTACACCTGCGAAGACTAAATACTTAGAAATAACCCAGTTTCAATCGAATCCGAAATTATTTCGTATTCTTTCAACTTCAGCGGCCCTCATGGCAAGCCAAGTATTCTTGCTTTGAAACGGACCGTAATAGGGTGAGTAAATATTTATCACACGTAATGCGCTACGAAGCTATCCTGAATTCCTGGTACACCGTGTCTTACAGGCAATAGAATGTTCTAGCAGTCAGTTTACGGTACGGTAAGTATACGGAATATCCTACCATCACGGTCGACATGTAGCTTTCTTTAGAAATTTCTAGCGGCGCGATGTTGCTCATTGCGTACGGTAACGCGAGGAAACGATCAAGACGACTAATACAGGTCTTGCAGATTAACAAAGTTGCGTGCCGAACAAGGTGGTACGGTATTGCCGTATTACCTTACCGCACGGCAAACCGGCGCTGCTAAAACACTTAAATGGTGTAGTCACGCGAATGCACTGCAAGGTGACACGGAGGGCGTTGAGGTCGAATATGCGCCTTCGACAACTACAGTTTATGCTATAGAACGCGATTTTCCCGACAAGATAGATCGAGGTGTACCGCCTTAGATTAGATTTGTGGGGTTTAACGTCCCAAAACCACCATATTATTATGAAAGACGCCGTAGTGGAGGGCTCCGGAAATTTCGACCACCTGGGGTTCTTTAACGTGCACCCAAATCTGAGCACACGGGCCTACAACATTTTCGCCTCCATCGGAAATGCAGCCGCCGCAGCCGGGATTTGAACCCGCGAACTGCGGGTCAGCAGCCGAGTACCTTAGCCACTAGACCACCGCGGCGGGGGCGGTGTACCGCCTTCCAGAAGTCCATTAATTAAGCATACATTCCACGGCCTAGATGCAAAAGCTACAACACGCGGTGCCGCTACACGACGGCGGGACAGAGCGACTAGAAAAACGGCCGTGGTTGCAGAAGTGGAGAGAATATCCGAGCTGCAGCAGAAGAAGGGGCGGAGACGAACTCACCACCATGGCGAACTCTCTTCGGTGACTTCGCCCAAGGCAAGGACCTGTTCGGCGGCTGTAGCCTCAAGAGCGGGGCTCGCGACTGGATGCGAAGCACTGGAGGGAGGCGCCTGGACGTTACTTATCCGGCGTCGCTCGCCGCACTTGTGCAGGCCTGCTGGCGCGCTGCAGCACAGGTCGCTAGGGACGCACCGCAGGCGGGCCGAACCGCAGCGCTACCTCAGCGAGTGCAGACGCAGCAGCGTACGTTAAACGCCGCGTGTACCGCTACGCCGGCTCGGTACAATCAACGTCCTCGCCTGCCGCCGAGCAAGACGTCACACACAAACACACGCGCCGCGGGAGACTCGTCAAAGCGCGCAATGCAAAAGGCTGCAACGCACGCACAAACACTACGCAGGTATATGAACGAGCGCCTCAGAACAAACAGACGAGAGCGAATGAACGAAGGCGCGGACACAAAGTCGCGGGCACCGCAGCGGGGCGGATGAATTTTTCCTTTCGACAAGTACCGTTACTGTCGACGTCTGGAGAAGGGGGAGAGATAGTGTGCGAGTCGGAAGAGAGGAGGTGAACTCCAGCCTTGTTTGCCCCCGAACCCACTTCACCTTTTTCTCGTGCCTTCTCGTACTCGTGTATGCCGGACGCCTTTCTCTTCATCAGCCCCCCCCCCCCCCCCTCCTCCAAACACGCACTTTCACTCTACTAACCGAATTCGTCCCGTACACGAAGAAACCAGGGAAAGACGGCCCGCGAGCTCGACGCCGGACGCCGGCGAGATAGTGGGAACCTTCCTGCGCCGTCGTTCTTCCGGCCCCGACCGCGCTAACCTTTCCACGCCGCCATGCGAGCGCATCCGTTATCGAGAAGCTGCAGGACGTCTCTTCTTTCACCAAGAAAGACGATGCAATCGCGAGATTCGGGCCGCTGAGACGAGAAACACCGAGAAGAGTCGCCGGGACTCAGCCGCGAGACATCGAGGACGATGGATGGCCACCGAGGCGAGGACGAGTGACTGTGGAGTATCCGTGGCTACAACATCGACGCACGGTAAGCAAAACGGCTACTCTGCGCGTGTGGCAACAGATGCAATCATAGTGGATGAGTGCGGCTACACGCCTCGCGTTAGAGATGACCAGCCGTTCTCTACGAGTGCTCACATACAATGAGTGTTCCCTAGAACGAGTAATTAACCGACACCCCATTCCTACGGGAGAAGAGGAGAGGGACGCTTTAGTCTACATGCTTGCCAGCTACGTCGACGTCACAGTCCGCGTGCTTTTGGTGCCTGTTAAAAGAACGCCAGGTAGCGAAAACTGTAACGGAATTTATTCGTCTATACGAACAATCCTCATGCACTAATCAAAACGTCACATTTAATGAGCGCATGCACTCCACGGGCTTATTGCGGGTGGGTGTCAGTGCCGCTATACTGGGCTGTTGTAGTCTTGCCACTTTGCATTTTTAACAACCAAACGGCAGTGCTATGGTAGACGCATACGCATGAACACGTGTCGGGTGGTGGGTTAATTTTTTTGTGACCGTATTCATCCAACTCGCCATATACGAAAAATAGGAAATTTCCTAATCCAAAATGGCGTCGTCCGTGTGTTTTACGCAATATCGCTTGAAGCAGCTATAGGTACATAGCTGCCTAAAATGCGCACGCGGCGACGTCCGAGGGGGAACTTAAAGGGGTGCAGCGCGAAGGTTTCGTAGCAATACGAGCGAGTACGCACATGCGTAATGAACAGCAACAATCGACGCTAAACGACCGCCTTTTCCCTCACACTGAACACAATATACACAGAATATTGTCTAGGGAAGGCGGAGGGGTGTTGTAAACACGCGACATACGCACTGCAGGCCTCTGCAGCATGCAGCTGCATAAGCGAGAGCGCCAGTAAGAGGATTACACTCAACAGCTGGACGCGAAACGGCCGTATTTCAACGGGCCTCCATAACGACGCACTCGGCGTGCGCGACCGCATGCGCCATCATAGCACATATATAACCAACACGTGCGGCCGCGAGAGGTCACATCGAGGTCACACACACTGTCCGCGCCATTCATAGAGCGCCTACCTCACTGCACACTTGACGCGCTCTCTGCTCGTACTACACTGACATATATATCTCGAGTGCAAGGTGAAGGTCATTCGTGTTACGCCATCAAAACGTGTCCCGGCCTGACAAAAAGAAAAAAAAAAGCAGTGGCAATCGCAAATTTGATGCTGACCGCTGCGACATTCAGGTCCCCTGTACAGCGCGCGAGAAAATGTCACCCAGCGCGTGCTCCAACTCCTCCATCTTAATTTAGAAAATGCACCTATCAATCAAGCTTAGCTGTGTACACCGCAACGTGTTCAAGGCTATCGAACGTAACGGCTCGCCAAAGTTCCGTGCATTTTTCAACAGTCTTTATCAGATGCAAAGCGACGAACACGAATGTAGATAAGCTTTTGCAGAATAAGGCGACACGCGACTTTCCGTATCACAGTTATCGGGTCGTCACTGAATAACTTATCGAACCCTGTATAGACTACGTGAGAGGTTTTCTTTCACGGCGTACTTGACCTGAAGACGCACCGCACCCCCTTCACGATCGTCCTTCGGTAGTTGCCTACAACACCGGTTTCTTAACACTTCTATCCTAGATAACACTTGATGCCGACGTTCATGCATATGTCAGCCTATGGGTCGATGCAAGATATATAAATGCATGCAATACCTACCACCAGAGCGCTAAGTGAATATACGCTAATGGAACCCACGCTTTTTGTTGATTTTTTTTTTGTCTCCAGAATGGTGGTTACACAATGTTCGCAACTAATTTAATCGGGACCCACAAAGGTGGTCTAGTTATTGTGGAACCTGATTGCTGAACCGCAGGTCGTGGGGTCAAGCCCCAGACGCAGCGACGTCATTTATAAAGATGCGAAATGCTACTGAGGTCCGTTACGTTGACGTTAAAGAAACTCCATGGGGTAGAAACTATACTAGAGCCCTTCCTTGCGGCGTCTCTAAACAATATTGTGGTTTTGAGACGTGTGAAACTCCAATAAATTATTAATTACGTCGGAGGACCTTGCACGACTGCTGTCTCTCTCAATCTCCTGTATCATTTGCCAAGAAGTGTCCAAGATTTGGCCTCGACTCAACGTATAGACCATTGTAGCGAGCTGGACATAAGAACACGCATCCGATTACGAGAGCTCTCGCGACAAGCTCTGATGAATTAAATTCGCTTATAAAAATGTAATAACGTAATAGTCGTTAGGATAATCCTCACATCACGCTGTCTTTAAATATAAACGTCTACCTCGATATTCACTCGTTTCTGTGGTTGCATTGAGCGAGCGATGGTCGCTGTTCATCGCCCCACACGAGCTTTAAAAACATACGCGTTGGGCCTTTTTCACCGAGAAAGGCGTACAGACAAGGTCGCAGCCGCCGAAAAGGTCACCGGGTCATCTCGGCAACCCTTGAATGCGGCGCGAATCCAGGTCAGCGGTCAATTATACTGCGCCGCGCCTCGTTTCCACCTAAACTCATCCGCTTTTAGCCAGCTATTACGACCATGGGGGGCTTTCGGGTCGTGTTCGACCTCTCTCTCCCTTTTCAACCCGCTCGATCTCCGCAGATGATGTACAATAAGGCTTTTATTTTTAAAATCGAAGGTCAAATGAAAAAAGACAGAAACATGAATGACAGAACAGCTCATTGGGGCAAAATTTGAACGAGAGGGGCGGCAGCTACACGACACGAATCAACGACTATTTATGTGCCCTGTGGCTGATCGCTAACCAATGGTGCTAAAAGGACGGCCCTAGCCAAAACCCATAACACGTATCTGGGGTACTAGCTGCATAATAATAACCGTTCATTACGTGTATAACGCACAATAAAAAGTGACTGATCGATTGCTTAGTTGGAACGTGAATGAGTTAGGACGTGACTGACACGAAACGAGCGAAAACAGTGCATATAAAACAAAGTTAATAGCAGAGAAGATCTGTAACTGCCATCAGATATGGAAAAAATAAGCTTCTTCAACTCAGTGCTCATACAACACACGCGAATATTTACCTAAATTTTTCGTTTAAGCATCTTAAACAAATTACTTTTGTTTATTTTGTTTAAGTTTCGGCCGCAATGCAGAGCTAAAGGCTAACGCCAACTTCGTATTTCGTTTCCTTATTTGGCTTCGATTACATCGGTGGCCAACACCAGACAACGTCACCTAACAGTTCGAATCATTACACGGGCTAGCACAGCAACCAAGAGTGCATATAAATACAGTAGGCTGGTTACCAAGCAACTGTCTTGTTTATGGAGTCAGTTGTTGTCAACGTCCAACCTTACCAATTCAAACGAAACCTGCTTCGCGTAAACAGCAAAGTGAAGGTTCAACGCAATGCGTGGCAGGACTGGCACGTCGATTCCGCATTCTACGATTCCGTGTCATTTGCCGGTCGGTATTCAGCACGGAATTTTAGTGCTGCTCTTCCTAGCACGTAAGGACAATACTTCATTGTCCAACATACAGACATTCACACAAAAGTTCATACACTGGCCCCCCATTCTTCAAGAATGCCTATGTGATAACAATATAAGCTTAAACCCCTCTCAAACAGTTTTGCAAGCATCTACCGTCATGTGCGAAATTAGTTTTTCACGGTCTTTTTCAGTTCGTCTTGAAACGAATAAAATCTCGAGCGCATTATGGCGAGCAAAGGGATCGCATGCCATCACACTTCAATGGAAGCCACTTAAATTAAAAAAAAAAAAAACGCAAGAGCAGGGTTGAACTGGCTCGATAGCCAGGTCTAGACACCAAACAAGGGGTTCATCCACCTGCTATTTCCTTTTTTTTTCTTGCAACAAAACACTTACTTTTCTACAGACAAGCTGGTCTAGCCAGTCAAACCAACACAACCACCAAATGTGTCTGGTTTTCGTTTGGTTAGGCAACCTGCCCCCCCCCCCCTCTCTCTCTCTTTCTACGCAAGCCGGTCAGAGGACTAGACACCGCGCAGGCAGCAGGGGAGGGGGTTCACTTAGCAGGAAGACGCTTGACCACTAGATGCGACGGTGACGAGCCTCGCACGACGATTATTCATTGCCCCACATTTCTCTCTCTCTCTCTACTGGCCCACCCTCCTCTATCTTGGGTGGGCAGCGAGAACAGCTTTAAAAAAAGTGGGTGAATCGAGAAGCACGCGAGCCCAAGAGCAAAACAAGCCGACAGCGCCGCGCGTCCCGCTCAAAGTGGGCGGTTGGTGTGGAAAAGTGTGCGGGGGAGAGATGGCAGGCAATGAAAGCGCTTACGTCACACGCTACAAGCTGGGACCCAAAGGGAACACACACACACTCGCGCGGGTTTTCCCGGTCAAACCGTACTGCACACTGCAGTCGCTCATAAAGATGGAGAAGGAGGGGAGACGGCGGGAGGGGTCCCCATGCGGAGCGCGACCCGCAAGGACAGCCAAAGCGTTCTAAACTTAGGCCCAGTCTGGCCTCGAGAAAAGAAACTCGGCTCCGTCGTATTTCGAGCGTCCCCGCCACAACCGCGCGGTGAGCCTCACATCACCGTCGGTGCTGGATGCAACGAGCGCCGCAAGCGGCTGGCCGCAGAGCGCGCAACCAGGTCCGCAGCGCTAACGCGGATGCAGCGAACGCAGCCGCAGCCGGATTATGTGTCGCGCTAATTTCGAAAACGAATTACCGTACTCGCACTGAGAGCGCAGCACTGCGGATGTGGCTTGCACTGACGTCTCTCAAAACACCGTCTTGATGAACCACATAGCGCACTAAACGTTTGTGAAGTGACGAGTTAATGTTATCGTTGTATCACTTTCGACTTTCACTCGCAACTTCTTTCGTTATTGACGGACAACGTCAATAAAGTGCTGGCCACATCGTTATTATGTTGAATCAGGTCAAGAAGGATGTTATGTTGCTGCCTATGCGTCACCAAGGTGGAACATAGGTGGAACACAGAGCTGCTACCATTACGTCTCGTGCGGGCTATCTACAGGAATTGAGGG